TTCACTTCGAATGACTGACACTTATTTCTCAGCCGAAGAACAATACGTCAGACATGCTGTTGCTAGAACTGAACGTTATCTCAACGAATGTCGATGGATTTGCAAACATGGTAATGCTACTACTTCTACTTTTATCACATCAGTAGCCTTTTACCCTATCTGAACTCAAAAAATGTCCTTGATTATAGTGAAACAACTCAATAACTTGTCTCACTTCACCATGGGTCAACTCGTCAAGTTCCACGTTGATGGTTTGACTGAAGAGGTTGTAACGGGGTGGGTAGCTCTACCGTCTTCGGGTAACTCAGAAGCTCAACGTGTTCCAGCTGCAGCTTTGCTCTTAAATACTGATGGTGTAGAATGCCCACTGGGTAGCACTCATGAGGCCGTCGTCACTTTGGCCAATCCCGATGCAGGCAAACTGGAAGTTGCCCTCCTGCCCTGGCTATTGAAATCGATAAAGCAACGTCGAGGTGGTCAGCTTGACAATTCTGCTATGCAAGTCCAAAAGGGACAAGTAATTTCCTCAAGCGTTGTCTCCATGGGGAACACAAGGGATATCGTTGTTGTTGCACTGAAACAACATGCTCTTGGCCATCTAGCTGTTGTGGCTACTCGTAGGTCTTTCAATGACATAATCGGCTCAAATGCATGGGCCCTTGGTCAAGTTAATAGGGTTACCATCCGCGGGTATGTTCTTTTTCTTATTGATACTTCTTAATTGAGTTGATCTTTTTATATTTAAATTTAAGCTTTTTTATTTTTTAGTGCAATGCCGTCGGAGTCAAACCGTGAGAGGACATTCTTTGGCACTTTATCAATCTACGATCCTTTAACATCGAAAACCCCAAAGGCTAACTCCCATGTAGATATACTTTCTCCTTTAACCATTGAAAGCCTCACAACACCTGGTACTCATTTACCCGAGGTTGTTTTCATCGGCCTCAAGGGTCGTGCCAATGCACTCTTCCGTTTGCCCAATACACGAGGCAATCGATCGCTTAACACCCGTCTCTTGTGCCGACTGGTTGACTTAGAACCTTCCTCTGGTAAAGCTATCCGCAAATTCATAGCCAATGTTCCCGAGGTTGGCACAATTTTCAACAATGCCGTTGTGCTTAATGCACCTACTCCAACATTGACTCTTGACTCTCGGCTTCCACTGTCTTCAAGAATGGCAAGAATATCTTTTAATGGTAAATCACAATGAGGTGTTTTTCGATTTCTCTTTAAGATTCTATTTGTAATGACTCATTTTGTACCTGGATTCTGAAGTTTTGTTTGGAAGCATTAAAACACCTTTGGGTCATCTGAGTGTATCTCGTGATTTGTAAATATTTAATTTTATATCAAATGGCAGGCTCTATGATAGTCATCATTAGCCCTCTAATTGATTTCGGACTTCACAGAGGATGGAAATATTAAAGTTACAAATGGTCGAGAGGGGGATGTTAAAGAGACAGACCCAAAGATCGAGTACTGTGGAAGTGGTGGCATATGACATACAGTGGGGTCATTGTAGTTTGAAGACGGAAGTCAATTGCCGTATGAGTATTCATTGCCCAAGGCGCGCCCTGGCATTAAAATTATAAGCACTTACAAAATGAGCATGAAATTACTTTTTGGGTTGAGTATATGTATGGTTTTGCCATAATACCAATATTCCCAAAGCCTTTTTGCGAATGAGGATATTACAGTGATTCAGATGCTATCACCCTTCAATTAAGTGAATAAAATTTAAATGAATTCTTGCATAAGTGTACTCACCGATCGCTTAACCTGTTTTCCTCAGGAAGGGGAGCAAATACTTTCTTTTTCAATCGAGTACTTCCTGAAGGTGACAATACTGTGATTTTGCCCTGGCTAATTTGAAACCCCCTTTTAATGCTAAATGTCTTTTTGGACTACGTTATTACCAACCTACAACAGTTATTTTTTTCTTTGAACCACCTCAGAGAAGGAACCGCAAGTTGGAGATCTGGTGAGCGCAATGTTCCTCGGTGTCCATGGTGCATGCTGGCGACTTCTGTTGCCAAATAACACACAAGGTCTTCTTCATGTCTCCTGTATGTCAAAGTCTTCTTCATGCTCTGCGGAAAATGTGGAGTCGATGCATTCAGAGTTTCCTACTCACCCGGGGAAAAGCATTTGGCTTACTTGTCGTATAATCGATCAAGCGACCAATCTACAGGAACATGTAAGCTTGTCCATTGATTAAAATTCATTGATTTCATGACCCAATTTTATAATCGTGACTTTACCTACACCACAACTATTGAATTTGACAGCTCGAAGTGGTATTATAACCAGTTTCATTTGGTAATTTCTTTCCTGCAAATTGCAAAATTCAGTCAATATGCAGTGGATTTTTTTTCATTGTTCTACTATTGCTTTTGACACTTCGAGTTAACCTCTTCATATCAGATGTTTCTTCGGTAATTTTATCTTCAAGCAAAGTCCTCGTTTGTGGTATATCAACTAGTTCTTCTTTCTATCAAATTTGCACAGTTGAGGTTGATTATTTTGGTCATGGTGAGTGTGAATTGGGGTGTCAAATGTGGCATGCGTTCAGTGGGTAGTCTTGATGTCTTGGAAAGTAAAAACATTCAATTTCTAAGAGTAGTCTCAAGCTTTGTATTATCATCCCTAATAGTAGCCATCTAAGTTCGAACAATTCTTTCAATCTTATTGTTGATATCTTAACGTGCTCGTCTATATCAGTCGCACATTTAATGTCCAATGGAACCATGACCAATCGCATTTGCTCAATGATATGACAATTCCATTTCTTTACTCATTTATTCGTGTTGAAATCTCCGCAAAATAAGTTTTCTTTGTTAAGTTGGTACTCTCAACACTCCTTTTCACTTTACTAGGCAGATGAAGAAGATTTAGACAAATCTACCGAGGTTATCGAGCAGAAGAAGGTTGAAGACACTCCTCAAATTGCTCGGGGTGATGAATTGATCCCTATCGGGTGTGGTGAGGATGAGGAGGAGGGGGAGGATCCTAAAATGTCCACTAAGATCTTCTATGTCTCGACGGATGCTTCTGATATGTGAGTTCTCTTTCCTATTTAATTTATGAAGCATAGTGCATGCTATATCTCTGATAAAGGTGGTTAAAAATAATTTCAAACTCACTTATCGTAACACAGGGGGCTTTAGACGATGAAACGATCTCTAATATGACCTAGTTTATAGCCTTCCATAGCATCACTTTCATTTGACCTATGGTTTGAATCTGTATGCTTTGGTGATGTGGTTTCCTCCTCTTCACGTCTGTAAAGTCACCGCTATCAGATTCGGTGAATCTCTTTAAGTAGGACTTCAAAATGACTCATTAATTCAAAGACATAACGTACTACTCAGAATGTTTTTTTTTCTAATCTCTTATTTAATCGTAGTATCCTCTATTTATGCAGAAGCAAACGTGTTTTGTATTGTAGACGCAAATGGAACCCTGAAAAGTACAACAAAGATCTTGAGTTGGTGCTGAATCAGCCAATGCTAGCAATAATCAAACGGCGTTTCAAGAATACCCTCATTGTCAACTTAAATTACAAAACTGATGCTGTTATTCCCCACTCCACATCTTTGAGACCTGACCAGAAAGTGGGGACACCTATCAAAGTCATTCTCACATCGTAAGCCTTGCATGAAATACCTCTGCCCTATTCTAACGCAAAAAAAACAAATCAATCTTTCTAACTCTGCATTTTTAGTCTAGAACCTTTGAATGGTCGATTAGCTGAGCCCCTCATTCGTCGTAAACGTTCACTATCAACTTCAGCTGCTCCAGGTAGTGAGGCAGAAGGCCCTGTTTCGAAGAAACGCAACCGCAACACTTCGCTTCATCTCCCAGGAAATGAACCTTTGCCAACCATTTCAGATATGCATGCTCGCTATGCCGACTTCCTTCCACTCGTGAGAAATGCTAATCAAGAGGAGGAGAAGGAAAAAACAGAGATTGTTCATACTCCTGAGATTGAGAAGGAGATTGATGACCTAGATGTGGAAATGGTTGACGTATCCAAGAAAGGTCAGTTCAATTTATTCCGATGTTGAAATTGGGTGTTTTCTTTCTTGACGACCCTGAGAAGGTTTAAATATCGGTTGAGAAGTAATCAATAATTGAAATAAGTGAAGGAGAGATAAATGGAGCATGTTTTTCCTTTCGCGCCACTAAATTTGGGCAAACTGTACATTATTCCTATTTCTGGTACATATTGTAGATGAACAGCCAACCACTAATTTATCCGCAGTCAAAAACGAGGCTCGGTTAGCGGAGATTGCCAAGGCAACAAGTTTGGCAGGTCAGGACGCCAACGCGAAAATTCCCCGCATGACCACTGTGGAAGAATTCGAAGTGGCCGTTCGAAACGCCCCACAAAACGCACGTCTCTGGTCGCTCTACGCAGCCCACTACCAAGCGGCTGGTGATCTTAATCGAGCTAGAGGCGTCCTCAGACGTGCTCTTAATTCTCCTTTCGCCAGCAATTTGGGTTCCGAGGAGTTTGTGGGCAATGTACTACTCGCCTCCCTGCGTTTAGAGAGCACTGCTGCACTTGCAGTCGGATTGTCGCAAGTTACTGAGGAAGGAAAGCGAAATCTTGAGGAGGCTATCCGTAGAATTGAACAAATTGATAAGCTAGACTTGATTGGCAAAGCCATCGGTCTTCTCTCTACTATGGGTCTGCATGAGGTAAGTAAATGGCGTGTGTCTGCATTTTTTCACCTTTGAGTGGCTTGACTATGGATCTAACTGGCGTTTGTCTCACATTATTTAGCAAGCTGATGCGCTGTCGAGGAAGTTTGTGAAGAGGCATTCCATGGTGCCAGATGCTTGGCTTAACCTTGTTCGAGCTCGGTTTAGGGCCGGCAATGTTGCTGGGGCTAGAGAGGCTCAAAGAAACGCTGGACAAACATTGAATATGTCGCAGATTCCACAATTCGCTATTGGGTGCGTTTGTTTTCAGCACTACGTTTATTGGATCCATCTCCCGCTATCAAATTTATAGTTTTTTTCTTTTTTCTTAATCACCTTAGTTGCGCACGACTCGAGTATACGTTTGGTGATTTTGGTAGAGCCGTCAAGCTGATGGAAGAGCAGATAGCGGCGCATCCTCAAAGAAAATCCCTCTACACCAGCTACATTCGATTGCTTCTCCAAGCTGCAAAGAGGAAGGAAGCAGAGTAGGTCTACTACTTTCATTTCCGCTGGTGATGATAATGATAATGATGCTTAATAATATTTCTTTTTTTGTTTACTTTTAGGGCAGTTAAACAGAAGGCTTTGAATAAATTGCCTGAGAAGGATCATATTTTTATCAACAAGCTTTTCAATATGTAATTCTTGTGTATAGACCACTGTGAATGCAATAAATGAACACTTTGTTTGAAGTTTTTTTGGTTTTCTCTGTTCTAATGAATCTTTTTAACAGATGGGCTTATTTATAATATGATTTAATTGCGTGGTGAGGGTTTTGATAAAAATGATAGCAGAGACACTAAAGGATAAAGCTAAAGGCATTGTACAAAAACGAAAGGGTCAGACAAAGACAGATATCGCTACCACATTATTGTTCGATTTCGGGGTGTATTGGGCTTCCAAACTGAGGGAGTTTTGCGTTGGATAAAAGTAGCATGACGAGTGGCGTAGAATATCAACAAATGTATTATAAGAAAGGTGCATTCTTATTGCCGTTTTAAAGAGCAAAATTGTGTAAAGCAGATAAAAGTAGTTAGGGCTGATAAAGAGGTAAAGCTTAAGGGAATTACTTGTCCCTTTTGGACTTGCATAGCAGAATTGTCAAGCTGACCACCTCGACGTTGCTTTATCGATTTCAATAGCCAGGGCAGGAGGGCAACTTCCAGTTTGCCTGCATCGGGATTGGCCAAAGTGACGACGGCCTCATGAGTGCTACCCAGTGGGCATTCTACACCATCAGTATTTAAGAGCAAAGCTGCAGCTGGAACACGTTGAGCTTCTGTGTTACCCGAAGACGGTAGAGCTACCCACCCCGTTACAACCTCTTCAGTCAAACCATCAACGTGGAACTTGACGAGTTGACCCATGGTGAAGTGAGACAAGTTATTGAGTTGTTTCACTATAATCAAGGACATTTTTTGAGTTCAGATAGGGTAAAAGGCTACTGATGTGATAAAAGTAGAAGTAGTAGCATTACCATGTTTGCAAATCCATCGACATTCGTTGAGATAACGTTCAGTTCTAGCAATAGCATGTCTGACGTATTGTTCTTCGGCTGAGAAATAAGTGTCAGTCATTCGAAGTGAAAGAAGAAAACGGGAGCCATTCATTTC